TGGGTGACAATAGTTGAATAAACTTATAAAAAAACGTATAAATAGGTGCCCTATTTGTTGGTACATGCCGATACCAACATTTTAGTGCTGGATCGGGGCCCCGCCTGATACTGGTATCGGTGCAACACTAGTTATTATTATTAGTAAAAACAAAAATTGTGAACTGCAAAACAATGAGTCCTTTAAATAAAATTCCTTCAGAGCCGCAAACATCACATTGCCTTTAAAAAAGGAAAAACTTATATTCAACAAAAATTTAGAAAAGGCTGCTAATAATTTTAGAAAGTTAGAAAAATTATTAAAAATATATATATCCTTCTGTTATAATTAAAATAATCTTTTGGGGAAATTCCTGCTGAATTAGTCAGTTGAGAAAATCCCCCAATTCCAAAAAGTAGCTTTTCTTCATTTTCAGCATTTGTTGATTTTCTAAAGAGCTGCTGGCGGCTCCAGAGCCACAGGATGAAGAGAGGATGAAGTCCGTCAGGAAGAGGAAGATCTCTCTGATGGGGGAACGTCTCTGCTTGTTTTATGGTGATGGCTGCAGAAACATTTAAACATCTTTACCTCCTTTTTTTCTCATCATGTGAGAAACCTGCAGTGTTATGGAAACATGATGAACCTCCTCTGTCCTTACATTCACTCTGAGGCGGCTCAACTGTAGATGAAAGCATCTGGCCATCTGACAGAAAACACAGCCTTTGGAAAGAGAGCAAAGTTTCTATTGCAATGACTCGTACTGACTGGCCTGTGAACATGATTACCTCATAAAGAATAAATGCTGTGTTGGTAAACAACAGAAGGAATACTCAGCTTTAAAGTGAAAGTAAAATAAATCAATAGAGGAAGAATGAAAAAAAGCTTTTGGTAAAACTTTCTACTAATGATCTTAAAACCTGATTTAATATTTTAGCAATTATGTAAACGTAACATGAACATCCTGCTGTTTAAGGATAAGATGAGTAAATACCACATGGAGAAATTACACAATAATTTTAGGGGTAAAAAAACATCTTATGAGTGATAACACAATATCAGAAGTTTGAATGACAGTGTAGGCAGCTGCTTACATTACCTGGTCTATAAATGACAGACTGAGCATATAGAAAACTAATAAGCATTAAGGACAAAGACAAAATATATGTGTTTCTTCCTGCTGATTTTGTTTCCCTGAAGAAAACTACCACATAATAAACAGAGTAGCTAGAGACTGAAGCAGGTAGGAGCAGTGATACTTTTTCATATTTCTACTGATGTAAAAGTAAACAGTGCAATGCAGTTAAAGTACTCCTAAAAATATATTTTTTTTCTCTTACACAGCAAATCCAACATGCTCAAATTAACACTGTCAGATTTGATTTTAACACTCTTGAAGTGTCTATATGGGTCCACACCAGAGAGAGTTAATTTGACTCTTTTTGGAGAGTTGGCCCCGTAACTCTTATTTAGTGTTAAAAAAATGTATCTTTCTGGAGTTGATAATTTAACACTTAATTACACCAACTCGGTGTTAGAATTGGAATATTAACACTCTCATGGAATGTTTTCCTAACTACATAGGAGTTATCCTCTAAAACTAAATGCTGGAAATTTTACTTTTCTGAACATATAAAAATCCCTTGAGAAAAATAAAGAAAGAAAGAAGCAATGTTTGTTCTTTTCAGCAAATATTTATTCCAAAAGTGCACCACAATTAGAAAATGTTTTTTCAAAACATGTAACAATGTGGAACAATTAGAATATTGCCTGTCAAAAGGTCTGACATAGGTGAGCTTCCTCAACAGAACAAATTATTGTTTGAACAGCACTTTCAGAAAGACCAGAAGCTTGTAAGTGAGCAACAACAGATCCACACATTCCAACAAGTGACTTCTGTGTAGTAACAGTGGGAGTTACCGGTACACAAAGGGACACGTATTTGTCAAAACTGTAATAACATGGCAAAATTACATATATGGGGAGTTTCAGACAGAATACATACATAACCATTTTTTGAGTATGGATCCTGAAGATATGGAAAAAGAGTTGCAATCCCCAGGGCATAGTTAGTCCGAACACTTATGGGTGGGATCCTCCTTTTGAAAACAAAAAGAAGTATCACTACTCTGGTCAGTGAATACGGATTTCTTTGATCATCAAAAGAGTTATACCCATGAGATTCTATCATATCTGCGACCAGTATGTTGACCATTTGCAGACGAGTCGCATCTGAGAGCGTTTTAGTTTTGGGTTTGACCTCAGGACTGTATACACCATCTGTAAAACAAAAATACATATTCTGATTAACCTCTAGTAGCTGACCCAAAGGCTACTGTTTTTAAAATTAATATCAACACCAATAACTGGCTATAGGCTTTGCTTCTGACCTGTTTTGCATCATCACGATCAAGCTCTTCGTGGCCCTTTTTTCTGTTCTTTGTACTTTTGAGGATAAGAGTTGAATCCGAAGAACAAGAAGAAGCAGGGGATGAGGAATGGTCTGACAGTGAAACTGGTGATG